TATATATATATATAATGAGAATAAAATCATAATTTACGAGAAAAAATTCATACAAGAATAAAAATCATAATACATTACATGAAATGTCCATTTTCTCTTCTTGGATCAGCTCGCACCTCCACTGCCTCTAATGTGTGTCACTGTGTTTATGAAGAAGTCTGCGATTACTTTTGGTTTACTTTTCATGTAATATGCTTCCATTTACATTATGTGATGGCTAAATCCATCAGTGCAGCCAATAATTGCAATGTCATATGGCTTCAGCTTATCATATGAACCATCTGCCACAGTGCGTTGTGCTCTGCTATTCTACTGCCGACGTCAGAGATGTGGGGCCCGCTGGAGTTCTGCTCCCCTCGATCCAAAATCTTGATGACTTTCCTAATTGTTTTAGAAACAAGTCTTGCTACTGATAATAAATTCATAGATCTTTACAATCTTTTGACTGGTATCTTTATTCTTTGGTTATTCTTTGCTTGTATTTTTTTTAATATATATTCTCTCCTTTCCTTTCAGGATACGTGATGGTTTCCAGTTTGGAGCAGGAATCCGATTCTTGTGAAGCCACTTTTTTTTTATTATTTTATTGAAAGAGGAAATTTGTTTGTACAGAATTGTTGTTAGAACAACTTCGTTCAATAAAAGTGTCTAACCAGACTTTTTATTGTAACTTGTCCTCTTAGTATTTGCTGTAAAGTCCTGTTGTGGCAAAGTGAACGACTCTCACAGCTTTGCTTTTTTCTGCACGAGAGCATGTTCAGCCTGATGTAGAGTTCTAATGACAGAACTTGTGTCCCATAGGGGGTGAAACATACTGATTTATGCGAGCTAGTTTTCTGTAAACCTCATTGTTGAGGCTTCTGCTTCTTCCCATATGCACCAAACAGTAAAATAAATAAATAAATAAATAAATAAATTAATTAATTAATTAATTAATTAATTAATTAATTAATTAATTTAAAAAAGCAGCTTGTTGTCAGCATCCTCTCTGGTGAACTTGGTGTTGTCAGCTGATTGTTGTGTCCAGTACATCCTTAACTTGACATTTGACTCAGGTATCATTCACATACCTGAACCAGTGGCTCAGTGTTGTTCCCTTGAAGGAGTCCAGGGTCAGGGCCAGCTTTAATTATTAAACTTTGTTTGCAAATTCATGGAGTTGTCTTTGTGATGTGGTGTGTTTCCAAAAAGAGGAGCTAAATTATCAGCAAGATGATAGGAAGTGAAACATCTTTAACTAAAGAATAGAAGTCCTTTTGTTGTGTTTACTATAACTTGATAGAATAAGCTTCATGGGTTTTTTTTTTTTTTGGGTTTTTTTTTTTTTGTAATTTTCAAGGCATACTTAAATGGTAAAAATCTGATTTCGCCCTTCTGATATTCTTTGTCATATCTTTGTTTTACTGATCTGTGACAAATTATTTTTAGTTGTGAAACTACTTTTAAAACTATAGAAATTAAGAAAAACGAGTTACAAGTTTAAAACATTATCTTGCATAAAATTAATTTTTTATTTTCCCATAAGGTCCAGTTACATAACTACATGACTGCTGAGAAGTAGTTCACATAATGACTAGCTCTTAGAGAGAACTACTGACTGGCAAATATTTAGAATGAAATAAATAGTAAATAAAACATTTTTTTTTTTTAATCAAAGCGATAGCTACGTAAACGAGGTACGGCTTTAACGCAATTATTAAACTGCGCATCGAGTTGGCGCACAGTTATCACGTGACCTTTGCTATTCCTTACGATTCGTTCAATGTGCGCATGCGCGTTCCAAATTGTTCCGTAGCATCCTAGCTATAGCCAGAGAGCATTGCGGGAATACGAAAAGAAGGGGGTGTTCTATTCACTGTTTTCTCGAAATTTCATCATCGCGTTCTATATACACACAATACAGTGATTAATATTACGACGTAGTTAATTCTGTTATCGGTTAAAGCTGCGCAGTAGCGACCCAAATAAGGGCTTTTCTTGTGTGCTTTTACCTTGAGCGGCAAGGAATTGGTCACACGCTGATGGCGGTCACTATCGAGGATCTCTATCGAAACTACGGGATCCTTGCTGATGCTAAAGAGAACCTCAGCCAGGTGAGGGATAAATACAACCTTTTTTTAACATGACTGTAGTGCAGACTTTATTATTGCGCATTCAATACTAGTACGGTAATATGCTTACGGTTTTGATTTTTTTTAGGTTAGCTTCATATGAGCAGGCTAATGTTAGCTTCTCCGTGGCTACTCGTACAGAATTCACGACTGTCATCAGTTTAACTGATTTTTTCTTTTTTTTAACCTGAAATATAAGGGAAGCTTCCTTTTAAAGCAGCTCGTTATGTTATTTAATATTCATTGTGATGCTACTAGTACTCAATTAGCATGATTATCTTAAATAACAACTCACAGCTGTTGCTTCACAAATAACATAAACAAAAAAGTTTAAATCAGATGTTTACTTTGAAGGGCTCTAACACAAAAATAGCTTTGTTAATCAGACACTAAGGTTAGCTATTTATTTTTACATTGTGTTTTTTAAACGAGCTCTATGAATATCTTAAGTTCATATGATTTTTTTTTTTGTAAAACACGTTTTTAATTTAGACTTTGCAGTCTTTTAAAATCTTTTTACAGAATCTCACAACACTACATGATTGATCAACTGTTTACAAGATAAAAATTAAACCAGATTATCTGGAAATGTCTCAAGCAACTTTTAGGTTTTGTAGCAAGGAACATAAAGGGCTACAATACTGTATTACTTATGTGAGATCCAGTATCACCTGTAATGTCAGGATGCTTTCAAATTAACCTTTTAACTGTTGTATGTCCCTTTGTTCTTCAGCACAAAGATGCATATCAAGGGATCCTGGATGGAGTGAAGGGTGGTGCCAAGGAGAAGCGACTGGCAGCTCAGTTTATTCCTAAATTCTTCAGCAGTTTTCCAGAGTTGGCAGATGCAGCCATAAATGCCCAACTCGATCTCTGTGAGGATGAAGATGTGTCTGTGAGTACTAAACAAGTTTCTAAAACGTAACCTATAGCTGCAGCATTACAATATGTTGCTTCCTTCTGCTTCGTGAAGCTGAACTTATGAGTTCAAGGTTTTGTACAGCAATGTGGAGTTTAATTCCATCATAAAAGTATGTCTTGTGTGTTTGCGTCCAGATTCGACGACAAGCCATTAAGGAGTTGCCCCGGTTTGCAACTGGCGAGAACATCTTCAGAGTTGCAGATATTCTGACCCAGCTCCTTCAGACAGGTGCCAGACTATTTTGAGTCACACATTTCTCAGTGTGTCACAGAGTGAGCAGTTGTAGTAATTGTGCGTGATTGTGCTTCTAGATGATACAGCAGAGTTCAACCAGGTGAATGCAGCTCTGCTTTCTATATTCAAAATGGATGCTAAAGGTAAGTTTTGTTTCACGTCCTCTTTTCTAGAGGGGTTCAGTTGTGATTCTGTTAATAATGTTTTTTAAACTGATAAATCGCTTTCCCTCCAGTGTCATCTGATGTCATATAGTTATTTTAATAACATCCTCATCTGTCTTTGTATTTTGTAATGCAGGTACTCTTGGAGGCCTTTTCTCTCAGATTCTGCAGGGGGAGGACATTGTGCGAGAAAGAGCCATCAAGTTTCTGTCCACCAAACTTAAGACACTACCAGAGGATGTCATGACGAGGGAGGTGGAGGAGTTTGTCTTTGCAGAAACAAAGAAGGTTTGTAAATAGTGTCAGTTGATCAACACTGATCTCTAATCATTGATGAAACCGAAGCATTAATGATTAGTGTGTGCAAATACTCCATGTTGATTAAAGAGTTAATCTTGCTCCTCAGGTGATGGAGGATGTGACAGGAGAGGAGTTTGTGCTCCTGATGCGTGTGGTGTCTGGTCTGCGCGTGCTGCAGTCGGTAAATGGGCGGCAGCAGCTCGTAGAGTTGGTGGTGGATCAGGCTGACCTGGAACAAGCCCTCAACCCAGCAGACCCAGACGCTGTGGACCGCCTCCTGCAGTGTACGCGCCAATCCCTGCCGCTATTCTCTGTGAGTGCACCCAAATCCTCCCAACTCAAATAATGTTTAAGTGTCATAGAAGCCTTTGTTCTGTTAGTGTGGTGGTAAATTAGAGTTGTTTCTGCCACTTTTTAGGTTCAAAAGATATTAAATCATGAGAAAATTGCTTTAGTTATTATATTTTAGAAGCTGGTTGGTGATAAAATCTCAGACTGGGGAGATAAAACAGAAAAATGTTGCACTTAACAAGTTAATAATATGGTTTATATTTAAGGTTAAAACTGCTTTTATCTTAATTTATGCTATAAACTTAGGTGTCTTTGTTTTGTAGAAAAATGTCCATTCTACTCGATTTGTAACCTACTTCTGTGAAAACGTCCTGCCCAACCTCAGCACCCTGACAAGTCCTGTGGCAGAACTGGACATTCAGCTGGAGGTGAGTTTGTCCTTTTATCCAGCATGACTGCTTTACAAAAGCTTGTTGTGTACAAAAAGACAAGCATCAGTTTGACAAACATATGCAAAAATAATAGGTCATTTAAAAACATAAACAGCCTGATGATTTTCTGTTAGCATTTGCTTTATTATACGATTCACAAATGTAAAATACATAGCAGGGCTGCAGCTAACGATTATTTTAGTAATTCGGACGATTAATGGAGTAATCAGATATTAAAAAATTGTCATGTTCTGCAGTAATTAAGCTTATTTTATGAGATATACAATTATTTAATATTATGAAGGAGTAATATACACCTGCTGATGATCCTGCTGCAATCAAACTAAAATAACAATACCAGTTGTATTAATTCATGCATTTTAAGCTCCACTTGTTTGTATTTAAGTATGTAAGGTCTGAGGAGGCATTAATTAAAAAACACTCTGTCATTGAATCATTTTTAACCATCACAGAAAAATACTAAATGCTGTAAATTTATTGTTATGGATTGGAAAACTGAATGTCTTTTTGTTTATTTAACAAAGTGAGCGTGGCAGCCAACTGTCAGAGGTGCCGGACAGCAGCTTGTAGTTAATGGGTTGTTAGTCTGCAACACGCAGCACTGTTTCTCATTAACAGTGCACATTACATTGTGCGTAGAGGCCTGCTAATACGTGTTTGTGTTGGTAGGTGCTGAAGCTGCTGGCTGAGATGAGTCCGTTCTGTGGCGACATGGAGAAGCTTGAGGCCAACCTCAACACATTGTTTACCAAGCTTCTGGTAAGAACGGTTTGTTATTGTCCAAGATGTAAAAAATGGTAATTTGTTTAAAAATCTAAATGCACTTTTACAATTTTTTTATTTGTAAAAAATAAAAAAATCAATGGCAAATCGTGTCAAAATGTGTTTTGAATCTTTTTAAGATACATTCAATGTTTTCCTGTTTTCTTTATTTGCAGGAGTTCATGCCCTTACCACCAGAGGAGGTGGAGAACGGTGAGAACTCTGCGAGCGAAGAGCCCAAACTGCAGTTCAGCTACGTCGAGTGTCTCATCTTCAGCTTCCACCAACTGGGCAAGAAGCTTCCTGACTTTCTTGTTGATAAAGTGGATGCTGAACACCTTAAAGACTTCAAGATCAGGTAAATGTGATGGAAACTAAATTTGTTCAGATTAATACTGATATTAAAGGAGACATATCATGCAAAATATACTTTTGTTTTAGCTGTTAAATATATTTTTGTTGTGCTCTTGAGTCTCTAAGAGTGCAGAAAAGTTTAATATAGTGTCTCTCTCTGTGCTGCATAGATATTTATATATTCTTTTGGGGTCATATTTTTCAACCTTTTCAGTTTTTTTTATTTTATATGAAATTTTCTGAACTTAGATCAAATTATTTGCGACAGAACTGACAAATGAACTGATCAACTACAATTTTGTTGTCTTCACTCCTCTGGCTCTGGGTCCAACGTGTAAGGCTGGATAGAAAGTCTTCTGTTGTTGACATCTTTAAAGGGGCAATATTATGTGTTTCTCAGGCATACATTTAAATACTATACCATAATAAATTATCTTTGTCACATTTTAGTTGTTATTAAAATGCTGTTTTTATGTTTAAATAGAAAATAAACTTATCTTCTCATCACCTCCTCTTCTCTTCTTTGCGTTGAAATTGGCCTCTGTCTCTTTAAGAACCTCCTTCTGCTTCTGTCCCGTCCCATTCAGTGGGGGGTGGGGTCGCGCGTGCGCTATGATGCAGTTTACTTGGCATCTGAAAATACATTTCCTCAAAGGTATTTTGAATCTGAAAAGAGCTTCACTGAGTGAGTAGTGGTGTTGAGAGCAGCAGACAGTTTCAGTTTCAATTTGCTTTGTTACTGCCGAGAGCCTGCAGGAGTCATGGGTGGGGTGTGTGGGGAGGAGTGCTCAGTGATGAGGAAGCTCGTCTTAAAGACACGTCCCAGGGGTGTTCCTGGTACCAAAAGGCGTTTCTTCTGGTCCCCACCTGTCGTTTTGCTCCTCAGCATGGCTTCCTAAAAATGCTGCAGGATTTCTCAAACATGCATGAATGAGTCAGAGCAAGGCTTTGGGCATGTTTTTTTATGAGAGTATAACATTATACATGATATAAAACTCAAAAAAATTGATTTTACATGATATTGCCCCTTTAAGGGTTGTTTTTTTTTGGTGCCCAAATTTATGCACCTGCCTATTTTTTTTTAACCAATTATTGCACACTTTCTGTGAATCATATAAACTTCATTTCACTTCTCTAATATCACTGTTTGTCCCCTACATGATATATTTAACTGATTTTTTTTTAAAATCCAAACAATCAATGATTTATAAAGGTAAATCTGGAAAATTAACAAGGGTGCCCAAATTTTTTCATATGACTGTATGACCACATCAAACCAGCTCAATAGCTGGAAGTTTGACTCGGTTAAAGACAATTTTGAGTTTTCTAAAGTTGACTCCGAAAGTTAATCACTTGAAGATGAACATTTATTAATAACATTCTGGGAGTTTCAATCAAATTTGTCCAGTGGTTCTTGTGATATTTTGCTAGTAAACAATGTTGACCATAACAGTTAATTCTAATGTTTTAAGCAGGCATTGACAAAAAACATTATTGCTATTTTTTCTGTGGCAGCATATTAAAACTATTGTAGTTGTGTGATTATTGTTCATCTTGCTGTCAGCTTGATTTTTAAATTTGTGTTAACACGTTAAGGAAACTCACCACAAGGCTCTATTTTGAATAGAAAATGTAAATTTCAGTAAAGAGAAGCTCCTGTAGAGGTCTTCTTTTAAATATTTTTTGTGTGAGAGTTCATAACTTTACATTAGTCAGTTTTCATTTTATATTTACCTGGTTGTTTTTGTTAACAGGTTGCAGTATTTTGCCCGAGGCCTGCAGGTTTACATCAGACAACTGCGAGTGGCTCTGCAAGGAAAGACAGGAGACGCTCTGAAGACAGACGAGGTAAAGTGATTATACTGATTTTTACTTGCTTCCCTAAACTTTACTTTTATGATATGTACTTAAACATTAAAAACTAATGATGAATGTAAAACTTCATACTGTATAGTATATTGAGGACTGATTTTGTTGTTTAATCAGAACAAGATCAAAGTGGTGGCCCTGAAGATCACAAACAACATCAACATTCTTATCAAGGTAAGCTTTTCTTAAAGGAGACCAATTATGGGTCCTAGAAATTTTTATGGTATGTCTGTGGGCTATCCAGACCATGTTCATTCAATTTAATGCACAAAATAATTCTCAGATAATAAAATTTCCCATTTTCTAGTTCTGCCTGCTCTGACTTCCGTTCAGAAGAGCTGTTTATGTTAATGAGCTCTGTTGGTAACGCCCTCCCTCCAAAAATCTGTTGACATTAACTCCGCCCTCCAAAGCCAGCGTTAGCATGGCTAATAATAGCAGAAGCTCCGTTGTACAACCATATGAGAGACCCAGAGGCAGAGTCGTGGTCGCAGCTTCTTTTTTTTTTCTCTCTCACTCCTCTGCTCTGCGTTCACTCTGCATGTTGTTACCAGAGCAGGGAGCAGCAGCAGTGAAAATACCTCAGAAACTCAAACAAATAGGCTTTAACAAGGCTTTAATAAGCTAAACAATAGAGGTACATGAGAAAACGTGTTCATAACGAATGAAAATAAATAAATAATTAAATTGTGTTGGTGCTGGTCTCAAACCCTGGTCTCCCACTCTCTGGTCCAACACTCTACCCATTGCCCTATTGGAGGCTTGTTGAGAAATGAGCTGTGCATTATACAACAACAACCATGACGGCTTTTTATGCTGAGGAGGTGGAGTCTCATCCGGGGGTTGCTAGGTAAGGGGCTGAACGCAGGTTCCTGTGGGTTGTCGTACGGCTTGTTACATCACAAAATGACGGAAGTATAAAACTTGTCGTTAATATACATTAAAAATACATTTACTTACAGTAAATATGCCCCTGGGTGCGTTTTTTGGTCTTAGGACTGTTTTTTTAAGAAGGACATACCCAAAGTTGAGTAAAAAAAACCTTTAAAAAGTGAATTTTGCAHAATAGGTCCCCTTTAAAGAAAATCTTTGTAAATGTTCAGTGTTTCTGTTGATAATTCTTGTTTTTCCTTCAGGATCTCTTCCACAACCCTCCATCGTTCAAGAGCACAGTTACTCTGTCCTGGAAACCTGTCCAGAAGCCGGAGGCAGTAGCGTAAGTCCACCTCAGACGGAAGAGTCTTCATTCTGAACGCTCCTGTTTCTTCATCTTATTTACTTGCGTTTGCAGGGCCAAGCGTCCTTCAGGGGAGGAAATGGGATCCGGGGGAAGCACAAATAAACAGATCGCCCCTCTGCCTCGGCGGGACGCACGACAAATTTACAACCCCCCCAGTGGCAAGTACAGCGCCTCTATTGGCAATCTTTCTTATGGTGAGAAATGCAAGGTGGCACTTTGTACTTTGGTGGCACAGTTTATTTTTTTTATAGTTTCTAATTCACATTGCACATTGAGAGGTCCCTATTAGTTCAAAATGTCACAAATTCTCTCCAAGTGGCCAAATAAAGTCAAAGTTTTAAACATTGTTTTTACTAAGAAACCACTCACTCTTATTAGGTAGAGCTCGTAGGACAGCTGAGTTTTTCAACTAAATTTAGATTAGTCCAATTCTTCATTTGTGTACATGTGTTTACGATAACGTAGACTGTCCAGGTACACATGGTTATTTTATTTATTTTTTAAATAAACGTGTCACGTGAGCTAGATGTCAAATGTAAAAGTGCCTTTAGCTGAGCAAAAACTTATGTTTAGTCATCAGGATTTATCATCTTAGCTGCATGGGTAAATTTTGTTATTGATAATGATCAAAGCTGATATTTAACTTATTGACTCCGAGGCTGAAAGTGATCAGTGAGGTCAGGGTTCGACATAACAAAATCAAACTTAGAATAAAAGCTTCAAAGCAGAAAAGAATGTTTGAAACTAACATTTTTGTCCATATCAGTTCATTGGTATTATCGAATAAAGCAGTGAAAGCAAAATCTCAGTGACATTAAAGTTTCATTAGTTTAAAAAGAAATGGTGAGATCAGCGGTTTTGGGAACTGCTCAGCCAGACTTTCATATTAAGGGATTTCGATCATGAATTGAATATTGATGTAACATACATTTTTAGTAACATCTTGAACTGAAGTTTATGACCAGTTGGTGTGCCACTGTCAAAATATCAAAGTAGTAATAGAGCCGAAATGATCGACGTTTGAAAAGTAAGCTTGATTTGTGGCTCTATTATATGATATTTGGTCTGTGCAACCACCTGGCTGTGTGATTAAACAACAAACAGAGGTGACACTGACAAAATTAAAAGGGTTAAAGATTAACTGTGATGACTCTTATTTTGAAAGAAGTGGCGCTCGGATTAAAGTTAAAAATCAAATTTAGACCTTTTTGATGGTTGATTCAGTGTCTCCTATATTTATGATGGATCTACCTTCCGCATCTGACTTTTGTCAGATTGTGTCTTTTTTTGATTATTTAAACAAAGTTGGTACAGCCCAATGAGAGGAACATATACTTCCTGCATGTTTTTGAACAAACTGGTGAATTATCTTGAACCCAACAGCAGACTTTGTGTTAGTGACCGGCTGTAAAAAACTAAGTATAAACTCAGTTTGTGCACCTCGAAGCACTGATCACACAAAATGTTTGTGAACTGCACACTTATCACTGGATAATTAATTTATTTTTTATAATTTAAATGTTTTTTACTGAAGTTGTGTTGTCTCTACCTTTTGTCACTCCAGAGCAGCGCGGCGGCTTCAGGGGTGGGCGAGGGCGAGGCTTTGGAGCGAGAGGCGGCAGGAGCCGAGGCCGAGTCTACTGAAACACAATAGTGTACATTTTGCTCTTTGTACTGCATCACATCAGGATATTTTCCACACAAGAATGGACTATTTGTCATCTGTATTTTTTTAAAGGCTTTGCTTTTACAAGGATTTAGTTTTGGTTTGTGTTTTTTTTTCTTCTTCTTTTTTTCTTGGATGGGGGGGCGTGTTTTCTAAATGTCCAGTCCCAACTTTTCTACTTGTCATTTCAGTATTTAGTCTCTGTATTTCTCTTAGCCAAGGTGATAGTAAATCCAAATGTGTGGTGTTGTTTTGTCGTCATTTTTGTCTCAAACTTTTAAACACATATTTTTGTGAAACAAAAGATAGCCAACTTATAACTGATCATTTTTGTCAGATAGTTGTCAGATGAAGAGCCTCTTGTCTTGCAACATGTCAGTAAATACATTTACTTCTATCTTTTTATTTAATCCTGTTTTTGTTTTTAATCTGTGCTTAAGTTGAATTGGCTGACAGCTACTTTGTATGCATTGTTGACGCTGTTTCATTGGATTTTTATCATAAACTTGTATGGAAGTATGACCTACTGTCTTTATGAAATTATTACAAAATTTTATCTGTTTAAAAGAAACATCCTGACCTTTCGTTAACACTTACATTGGGTTACAAAGATAATATCCTCTCTTGGTATTCTCTAGTCTGTTGCCTTACAACAAGAACATAAATGGATTTTCTGATTAAGGCACTTGGGCAAAATTTGCCTGATTAATGAAGTCAAATGTGGGCAAAGAACAGTTATTGGTTCTGAAAATACAAAACTAAAAAGTGGTGCACTTTAATTAAAGCTATTGGTAGAAATTGAAAATATGTGGAGCAACATGGTATAACAGTGGCCTGTGCTGTCTCCTCACAGCAACTAGGCCACAGGTTTGATTCCTGGTTGTGGAGAATGATTTATGGACATGTTTTCTCCAGGTACTCCAGACTTGTGGATTGGGTTAACTGGTTACCCTATGTGTGAAAGTGTCTCTGTCCCTGAGATGGACTTGTGACTTGTACTAACATCGAACATTTTGACCATTGCCAAAAAAAAACCCTCTACACAGTGAAGCATGGTGGTGGCAGCATCATGCTTTTGTTAGCTGAGACTAGGTTAGAGTTAAAACAAAGATGGGTTAATCAAAACATAGATAATGCAACTGTGAGAAGAACATGTTGGTGTCTTCTAGAGCAGTGGTTCCCAAACTTTTCAGCTTTTGACCCACAAAGTACCAGCAGCAGAGACCTGTGCCCCCAGCTGTGGTCGGTTAATAAATATTTTCATGTCAAATAAACAAGAGCATAGTAACATTATTTATTACACTATTTTTGTCCACTTTAAGTACACTGATTTTATTATTTTGTAAGAACAAAGGAAGAAAATGTCTTATTGTGTGTAATTTATTTAAAAAATATTTTCAGGACCGCACCTTGATGTTTCAGGACCCCACTGTGGGTCCCGACCCCATCTTTGGGAACCACTGTTCTAGAGGCTTTAGATCTGGACACAATCCACTTTCCAGCAGGACACTGAGGCTAAACACAGCTGAAGAAACACTACTGGTTTAAGGAGAACAAGTTAAAGGTCCTGGAATGGTCCAAATCTCAGACCTTAATCTGAGATGCTGGTTTGAGTTAAAGACTGAGACTTGCTGGAACTGATGTAGAAGGAAGTATAAAAGGATCACAAAGTATTGACTTTTAGGGAAAGAATATGCATGCACCAAATTATTTCTCTCCTTCCCATTTTTATAATGGACTGATTTAAAACTTTGCCTTGATATTCAATCTACACAAGGTAAATTCAGATAAATTGCACATTGTGAGGTAATAAATAAGCAAAGGGGTGTGAACATTTTCAATCCTTTTCCTCTTTCAGCCTGTGTAGCTGTGCCCCACCTGTTTGAGAAGGTTATTTTAGCTCACGATCTGCCACCCCCATGTTGAACACAGACGGTCCTGTATGAATCCATCAGTGTTCCCCATTTTCTGTCTACAGAAGTGTGTGAAATGGTAAAGGGTAGAATCAAGCTCTCAATTATTGAAAGAGCTATAAATAGCACCTGTCATGTTCACAGCTTGTTTTTTTTTCACAGTCAGGTGGTGGAGCATCCAGTTCTCTGGGGAACATTCTGACCGTGTGTGCTTTCTTACATGAACACATAATGAATGAGGACTTTCATCAGCTGAAAAAAAGAAGCATCACCTCGACACAGGCATCATTCATGGTCTTAAAGCATTGATGACTTGCTTGCAAATAATACAAGAAATTGCAATTTTGCTATTTTTTAGACTCCATGTGTTAAAATGACTGAAGATAGAGGACCTGAGAAAGTGGAGGCAGAGCACACACAGCCAACTCTCAGTGGAAGCAATCAGCTGCTTTTGATAAAAAAAAAACCCTCATGTTATGGCTTTGATAAAACTGCACAAATAGGACACAAACAGTGTTGTTTAATGGCAGTCACTCTGAAACCAGAATCACAAGTGGCGTACCCCAAGGTAGTTGTCTTGGTCCTTTATTATTCAGTATTTTCACAAATGATTTGCCATGTGTATTAGATAAAGCTAACGTATACAGATTATTCAACCATATATACATCAACATTAACTACTAAGAAATTGGAAACAATTATAAATAAGGAACTTAAAATATTTACATAATAGGTAAATAAAATTGTCCTAAACATATGTAAAACTAGCTATGACTGCAAGGTCAAGTTATATTATTGATAATATTATGGTGTTAAATATTAAAATTGAACAACTTCACAACCAGGTATCTGAGACCAAACCTCTGGGACTGAGATGAAAATAAATTAAAAACACTTGATTGCAAAGATGGGTAGAGGTATATCACTTATAAGAAGACATGCAACTTTTATGAACTCAAATATCTTGAAAACAGCTGTTCAATCACTAATAATATCACATCTTGACTATTGCTCAGCAGTTTGAACTGGAAACATGTTAAAAAATTTATAACATATACAATTCAGCTGCACCAACAACACTCAACTGTGATAATGTCATGTCTATGAACAAGAAGGTTTATCTGGCTATTGGTTAAATACTGACTGTTGTACTCACTGCTTATTGTTATCAGAAACATGTCTTTCTTAAAATCACATTTTAATTTATTTAAAAATCTCTCCTTTCATAATGAGATTAATAACAAGGTGTGCTGTTGTAAACAACTTTACCTACAGCAAGATCCAATGCCTTGAATTGCACTATTTTATATAGAGGCATGATTAAATGGAATTCATTGCCTAAACATATCAAACTCAACACTAACACAAACCATAAATCAGTTCAAAAGTTTAATAAAGAATGCTTATCAGGGTAAAAAATATTTGATGTGTTTGTACACACACACACACACACACACACACACACACACACACACACACACACACACACACACACACACACA